CGCGTGGGAGCAGTCTGTCCCCGCCGCCCAGGTTCCGTGGCCAGAATGCCGTGTGCGTGTGTGTGTGTGTGTGTGTGTGTGTGTCCGTCCCAGAAAATACTGGTCATATCTGAAACCAAATGCACTTCACGTTCTCAAGAAAAATGTTGGTGGAACCCGGCCAGTGTGGCCCAGTGGTTGAGCATCCACCTGTGCACCAGGAGGTCGAGGTTCGGTTCCCGGTCAGGGCACAGGCCCGGGTGGGCTTGATCCCCAGTGAGGGGCGAGCAGGAGGCAGCTGATCCACCACTCTCTCTCATCATCCATTTCTCTCTCTCCCTCTCCCTTCCTCTCTGAAATTCACACAAATATATATATATTTTTTTTAAAGAAAAGAAAAATGTTGGCGGAAGCAAGAGCGTCTCGGAGCCCAGGCCTGGCCTCTGTCCCAGGACCCGGAGCTCAGGGGTCCGAAGGGGAGCTCCCGGGTGGGGGAGGCATAACCCTGTGTGTCCCAAGTCCTGGGCCAGACACGCCGACGCTGCTGGTCACCTTCCCCCCGGACTGACAGGCGCCTGGAGCTTCATCTGCTAACTCTGCCAGCCCCCTGGGGTCCCGGGGCCCCGCTGGCCGGCCTCTTGACGCCCCTGCCCACCCCGAACGTCCAGAGAAGGTCAGCCTGCCGTCCTGATGCCCCCAACAGGGCTTTTATTCTCATCTGCCCACGTGGCCCTCGGGCCCCGGCGGCTGCGCAATGAGTCGGGGCGCCCACCTGGAGTCGGGGGTCGATGGTGAAGGAGCCGGAGGTGGGGTTCATGCAGGCCACGTACTGGCAGTTGTGGATGTCCTTCAGCGTCAGCTTCTGCCTGTCGTACCTGCGCGGGCACCCGCGTTTCGCCCCCGCCCCGCTCACCCTGCAGCATGGCGGAGGTGGTGTAGAAGTTGAAGGGCACGGCCTGCACCAGGTAGTCGTCCGTGCTCAGGCTCTCCAGCTTGTCGCCCAGCAGCACGGACTTGCCCGAGCCCGCGTTCCCCACCAGCATCACGGGCCACGACTTCTCCATGAGCAGGTCCATGAAGTAGCGGATGCGGATGGTCTCTCACACCGAGCATGTGGCTGTGAAATGATCACCGTGTGCGGCCGCCTCACCAGTGCCCGTGGTCCATGTGCTGGCGGATGAGGGTGTGCGGGGCCACCGTGCCGTACTTGTCCACCTCGGGCATGTTCATGTCGTCGATGAAGTAGATGAGCTTCTTGGTCCCGGGCGGCCCGTAGTTCCTGCCCGACTTCTTCTCCAGCGGCTTCTCCAGGACCCCTGGGAGGGAGCGCTGCCACCAGGCGGCCCCGCATCCGGGCACCCGATCGTGGGGCCCAGGATGTGGCCTAGAGGGGCCTCCACCCCCCGGGGTCAAGGAGGGGGTGGTGGGCGTCATGGGTGGGGGGCAAGGGCTGCGGGAACCTTGAGCCCCTCAACCTTGTGGCCCCCGCAGCTCGGTGGTGGCAGGGGCCCCTGTGGGATCCGCCGTGAGCATGGGGAAGGGGGCCTGGTGACCACCCTGTCCCTACTCTGGGGTGGGGGCCAGCGGGTGGGGGTGGGGAATGAAGAAGCAACTGGACAAGGAATGGGGGGACGGACAGCCATGTGGCTGTGTGTGTCCAGGCTGGGTTATGAGGACCGACCTCTGCTCCCCCCGCTTCTTAACCTCACCCTGTCCCCCAGCCTCACTGTCCCCAGCCTCCCCCTGCCCCGCTCCCCCT